TCATGCATAAATCCTTAGTTATTTTTAGGTATTACAAGAAAGTAATTTTAAAAGTAAGCTTGTGTTGTTTACTTGAAGGATTTATTAATATAAACATTTTTCAAAAAGTTTGCATTTTTCTTAAATCTTAAATTTTATTTTAAATATTTTTTAAAATATAGCTTTGGAAATGAATTCTAGATGTTCAGTTTACTAATATTTTTATCAGTGTTTTCTTGTCCTAGGAAAAATAAGTAGTCACCAAGATGAATGCGTATATATCAGTCTTCTTAAATTTTCATTCACTATCAGGAATAATTTGTGAAGACATAAAAACTTTAAAAGTGTGGTTATATTTTAGGTAAATGTTTAGCAGTTACATTTTGGAATGGTATGTTTACATTTTTTTTTTAAGTATGTCACCAGTAAATCAACCATTATGGAATTCTCTATTAGCCAACACGATTTGTTCCTGTATGTGTAACTTTTTGTCGGAGACTTTATTATAAAAAGTAGAAAAAAACAATGGAGAGAGCAGAGCTTGACACAGCCCTCCCTGAGAGGGGTAGGTTTGTCCCATAATTCAGCAGCTGTAATATACTCTCACGGCCTGTGACTCCTGGCCCCGTTGTTGGTAACCAGGTTGAACAAGGCCGAGAGCTAAGCCCTCTTTCAGTCAGTTTCTGTTCTAGCCTAACCCAGACACTGCCTTCAAAGGCTAGTTCTACCTCAAATAGTATTGAACACCCCTGCTCTGAAGAAAATGCTTAAATTCATTCTAAAGCAAGTGACAAAGAGCTCTAAGCTCTGAGAATTGTTCTTTCTAAAAATCTCTAAAACAGGAAAAATCATGATTGGTTATTCCTTGAGTTAGCAAGTTAAGAGCAGGTTCAGAACTAAATATCACTGTGAAAAAGAGAATCTATATTTGCCCTTTATCCTTACAGTACTTAGAATATGTAGTCTTCTTAGTTTTATGGCGTTTCATAATATGGAAACTGATATTTTTGCCTTTTTGCTTGAGGGTGAAAAAAAATGATGGTAATGACAAGAGAGATAGCAAGTGAAAAAAATGTAGATAATCTATAAAGCACTTTATCACATACAAAGCCTTTAAACAGCAATCTCAAGTATTTGAACTGCATCAGGTGCAGTTCATTTGAGATAAATGTAAGTACTTTGCTTCTGGGCCAAAAGCCGAGAACCAATTCATAGGAGAAAACAGAGCAAAAAAAAAACAAGAGGAGAGAATAGTTGGTTTAAAAGGCTTTAAGTCTCTTGTTGATATCTAAAGAGCATATATATATATATATATATATATATATATATATATGAGAATTAGTGTAGAATGTGCTGAAGAATATTTACTGAAATAGTTGGATAAAGCAAGTTAAATAATGATGTTTTGTGGTAGATGGAATTTATTTCATCCTCTGATCTCTAGAGAAATTTAATAGAATTGGCAATAATAAAAAGTTAACATTTGACCATTTTTGAAAAAGCATCTTCAGGAAATATCTGTGAAGCAACACATTAGTAGTATGTGGAGACCATGTATTGAAATAATGCCTTTGAGGGCCAGCCGAGTGGCTCAGTTGGTTAAGAGTTGGCTTAAGAGCGCAAGCTCTGAGCAACAGGGCGGCTGGTTCGATTCCCACATGGGCCAGTGACACTGTGCCTGAGCTGAGCTGTCGCTGAGCTGCCAACAGTTGGCAGGATGGCTCAGCTGCTGTAACAAGATTGCCTATTTGATGTTGGGCTATGCCAACCCGGCAACTAAGACTGAACTCAGCACCTTGAGCTGAGCTGCTGCCCAGATGGTTCAGTAGACAGAGCGTGCACTCTTTAAAAAAAAAAAAAAGAAATAGTGCCTTTGAGATGATATGCCTATATAAGACCAATTCATGAAACAAGTTTTTTATTGTCAGTATCTAAAATGTAGCAGGCTGATGAATAAAAGAAAATTATTCGTAAGCAATATGATACACTGTAACTTGAGATATCATAAAGTCCAGATTCTAAAGGATTCTTTCTGACTGGTATTGTCATTTTGATAGTTTAGCAAAGAGGATGGTTGATGCTCTTGGTGGAAATGTATATTCTGAAGTTAGGTTTTGGATACTGTGCCAGTAAATTGTAGCATGTTAATATTTTTTTCTAATAATAAAGGTAACATATGCTCAATGTAAAAATTTTGGAAAATATAAATATTTTATTATCAAGTTCCCTCCTAAGGTTTTACCATAATTTATCTCCACTCCCCCTAGTTGTTTCAGATTTTATACTGTCCTACATAGCAGAGGGAAGAAGATCTCTTTATATGTAGTTTTTTGCCCTCATTTCTGCTCTTTCCTTAGGACAGATATCTAGAATTGGAATGACAGTATCAGTGTACCATTGAGACAGAGCTAGGACTAGGGTGAAGTGAGGATGGGAATTGCCACAGGCATGAAATTTAAGAGGGTGCCAAAAATTAAATAGTCAAGATATTTTAATGTAACATATTTAAAAACCAAACTTAATGCAAAACTATCCACAGTGAGCTAGATGGAAATCCTACTAGCTATAAGACAGGTTACTAGGTCAAATTTATTTACTCCAGACCTTTCTGGGTAAACTATTTTTAATCCTTTGTTGTTTTTTAGTTATAAAACTGATTTAAAAATAAATTCATTCTAAACTCATTCTTCGTACAGGGAGGAAATTTCTTTTTCATTTAGTAGCTGCCTACATAAGAGAACAAGGTAACATTTTATCAGTGGTGTAGAACAGGGTTGGCAAACTTTTTCTGTAAAGGCCCAGGTATTTTGGGTTTTGAGTGTCATAAGGTCCCTGTTGCAACTACACAGCTCAGCTGCTGTAGTTCAAAAGCAGCTACAGACAGAATGTAAGCGAATGTTATTTATGAAAACAATTATATGAAATTTAAATTTCCAATAATTTCCCATGTCACAAAATATTGCTCTTTTGATTTCTCTTCAACCATGTAAAAATGTAAAATCAATTCTTAGCTCTCAGTCCATACCAAAATAGGTAGCAAGCGGGATTTGGTTCACAAGCCATATTTGCTGCTTTTGATGTAGAATATTACCTTTCCTCTATAATTTTATTATTTTCACCAAGTTTAACTTTATAAAACAATTTTCTTGATTTAGTATAGCATATCATTTTTTATGTGAGCAACAAGGATGATTGGTATTTTTTTTATCTGATTTTGAAAGTTTGCTTTTTAAAAATTTTCTGAAAAGATACTTTTTTTCCTCACATACTTAATTCCAATAATTTAAAAAATATACTTACAACAAAAGGGTATTTATTCTTAATGAGAGGCTTAAGAAATTATTGCTCTATTGACTTTTCTTTTGTTCACAGGTGGGGACGTATTACGCCTTGACACACTTTTAGAATGGTGGAGAGAAAAAAATGGGTCCTTCTGTTCCCGACTTATTATTGTATTAGACAGTGAGAATTCAACCCCTTGGGTGAAAGAAGTAAGAAAAATCAACGACCAGTATATTGCAGTGCAAGGAGCAGAGATGACAAAGTCAATAGATATCGAAGAAGCTGACCCACCCCAGCTGGGTGACTTTACAAAAGACTGGGTGGAGTATAACTGCAACTCCAGTAGTAACATCTGCTGGGCTGAGAAGGGACGCACAGTGAGAGCAGTGTATGGTGTGTCCAAGCAGTGGAGCGACTACACGCTGCACTTGCCGACCGGAAGTGACGTGGCCAAGCACTGGATGTTACACTTTCCTCGCATTACGTACCCACTAGTGCATTTGGCAAATTGGTTGTGTGGTCTGAACCTTTTTTGGATCTGCAAAAGTTGTTTTAGGTGCTTGAAAAGGTTAAAAATGAGTTGGTTTCTACCTACTGTGCTGGACACGGGACAAGGCTTCAAACTTGTCAAATCTTAATTTGGAGCCCAAAGTGGAATATTATTGAGAGTTCGTACTAACTTGCCATGTTTTGTATTTTTTAGTTGTGAAAAATATCTTGCTACTCCTGTAGCTGCTCTCACTTTGTCTTTTCTCAAGTATTATGGTATATGTAAGGTGTTGGGAATAAGCATTATTTTATACTAAAAGTATGTAGAGAGTCATAAATTCTGACTCTAGATGCATAACAGATTTTAAAAATAATGCACTTTGAGGAATGTTTGCATATATCTCTGATCAGAAAGAAAACACTTGTCTGCTCTACAGTGGCCAATGAAAAATTACTAATGCCTTATTTTCTAGGCATAGATTAGAGGATGTAGAGCAGACAATTTGTTTACTGTTATAAGAAAACTACGAATTTGCTTACAGAAGAATATTTTTGTGAACAGTAAGTTTGAGTCCAAGACCATTTGAAAACTCTTTCTTAGGAATGGAAAAAGGAAAAATTCTGCCTGAAATGAATGCAAAATTTGCTTATAGTCCATCACTTTCAGATGTCTTGGTTGTGACCTGTTACCAGTATAGCAGAGAAACCCAAATCATTGTTTAGGTCAAAACCTTTTTTATGTTGGTAACTTCAGAAGCGAGAGCCTACGAGTTGCTCCTTAATGCATTGTTGAGGGCTTCTGAAAGTTCTGGTAATTTTAAGTCTTTCTCAGGATAACCATACTTTCTTAATGAACAATGTTTTCAGCCACACATTCCTTCCAAATAAATTGTCTTCCCTTTCAAAAAGTATCTTATAAAAGAAAGTTAGCAATTTCTCATTGATTTGGGCTATTTTCTCAGAAATGATTTTGATCTCTATAAAGTTAATGTTCTGCCATGAAAATTATGTTTCAAATCCCCATTAGTGATAACATTTTTTTAAACTAAAAGTCAAAGGATTGGAAACAGGTCAATTTTTCTTGTATACATGTAATTTATTATGTAAAAAAGTATTCATATTGACAATTTTAGTTAAGCATAATGGTATGGTTGTAATTTTTCAAACTTGTTTTGTGTGATTAAAGCAGAAACTGACCAGGATAACCCCTAACAGGCAATTTACCTCCTATTTCCATCTAGAAATCCTTACATTCTAAATTTTCATCTCTGGGAAATAACAAGAAAGGAATATAATTGAATTGTGGATAATCTAATCTTTGTTGTTAAAATGGTGTCACTTCTCACCATCAAAGCCATTTTTTCAGCCTCAGAAAGATGAAATACTGCCTCTACCATTTTCTACTGATGACTTAAAAATTGAAGTTTTGATTAGGAGGAAGTCACTAAGCGTCAGGGAACTTGTATACCACTATCTATGCAGCATTGTTAAAGTCTGATTATTTCTGTGTTTTGAATATGATTTTCCTAATATTTTGAATAAAAGTTTGTTAAGAATTAATTTTTCATGTAATGTGCAAGTAACAGTTATTGAATATTTTAGTACATTAAAAGTGATAGTCATAAAAAATGCCCATGCATTAGAGTTCGTGGTTGGTAACAGGTTGATTTGAAAAGTTCCAGTATTTGGTTACATATTTAATATCAACATCATTCAAATAGAATATAATGTTTCATTACTATTCAGAAATAGTATAACAGAAAAACCAAATGTTAAAATTATGAGTTTATAGCTGCAAAACACAGTTAAATGTTAAGTAAAATCTTTTAAATTTCTGAGCCAATATTGAGCAAATTAGCTTTAACTAAAGCATGTATCTGTACCCTGAGAAAGCCAAATAATCTGCAGTCTTTATAAAGTATTAAGATGGTGCTAAAAATCATATCCGCAAGGTAGCAGACACTTTTACAACCACAAAGATAATATTTAGACACACATTTTCTATGATAAGTACAACCAAAAAAAAAAAAGCCTGGGCTAAAAGTGTGACTTGAGCCAATTTATTACCCAAAAGTTATAGAAGCTCCACTTTAATGAATTCTCCTACCCAAACAAACAAACAAACAAACAAACTGTAAATGACTCATAGGAGACGGCATCCTAAATTAAAGCTGCCAATTTTAAAACAGTAATGTAACTGATAGTGTAGAGAGGGAATATTATGGGAAGGATAAATTGGTTTTACTTGATTAAAAAATAGATCTGACAGTTAATGAGGCTAATTTTATCATGGCTTTCATTTTATATATGAGTATATATTTAGGAAGGAGTTACTTGGAGTGATAGGAATTATTTTAGGGCAAAACCCTACCATTCCACTAAAAAATCAATAACATGGAGATATTTTTCAAGATACTGTTGACTGAATTTGTTTCCTTACATGATACCTTGCTAAAGCCGTAAAAACACTACTCCTTAAAAACATCTATTTAAAAAATACACAGTGTTATGTGATAAATGAAGGAGCCAAGATCTTTCCCTTCCCATAACTTTTCAGTTACACTATTGTTTTATTAAAAATTTTGCTTTAGTTTGCTCTGGCTCAACTCTTTTTCCCTGGGATTCTTGGATTAGCTTTGCATAGTTAGTCTTGCTCTTATTAATAAATACAGAAGTCTACAGAAAAGACTTTTCAGAAGACCATTTTTATGACCACTGTTTTCATAAGTTCTATGCTTTTAAAAAATTACGTTGTTAATTAAAATGCATTTATATTTCATGCAGTCGTGGGTAAGTTTTTTCTTTTAGTAAAATTTTCGTTAGAATCGATTTGTGACTGCGTATTTTGTTGGTAAATTTTGGCTTAAATATATTTGCTGTTCTGGGTAGTGCCTTTTTATATGTATTGTTTCAAATTTAGAGCTTAGTCTCTTTCAAAGTAATGTTCTACATTACCTTTCCACAAGTGATGTGATAGTTAATATTATGTATGTCAGAAGAAAATGGCTTAATTTTAAGAATGTGATTAGGTGTATTTGAGAGTAAATGCTCAAAGGAGTTACATTTGTGAGAATCTGTAAACATCTCTTCTGTTGGAGCCTGCTAGACTGTCATCTCTTTTTCAGGCAAAGGCTTACACACATCATGGTATTTCTGGTACAGTTACCCACAAGAGGACGTTGTCCATAATAGCAGGTATTTAAAAAATATTTTTGACTGAGTGAATGAATTTAGAATCCTGTGGGAAAATTAGAATAACTTGATTGTAAATTACTATGTTTTCTTTACAATTTTAAGATCCTCATTAAGTTAATAATTACTAAAGGCTTATGGAGTCAGTAAAAGCTAAAAAGTCTCACATTTGTAGTTAAAGAATAGTGTCAAGATTAAGGAGAAAAAACTCAGTCAGGTTTGAAGGAAAATATAGCTGATATCACAAAAAAATGGCTTTTTGTGGCTTGAGTTCATTTTCATAATCACTCCGATATGATTGAATCTTTCATTGATTTTTTAAAATTAGAAACGTACACAGATTGAACATTTATCACAAATTGGAATTTTAAAAAAGTGATGAACAAAGAAGGAATTTGGCTATGCATGTCAGTGACAACTAGAATGTAAAGTCAGAAAAACTGGCCTATAAACAAGCAGATTCAGGACAAGCAAGGCAAAGTACAAATATCTTTTTTTTTTTTTTTAGTATCTTCCCTATTCACTAGTTGTAATACATAGATATAAAGTATGAAATAATTAAATTTAAGCAGTAATTGTTCTTGAGCAACTGCTTTGTTGATCAAGTAATTCACATTTATGTTTATTAGGAAATGTTAGTTAGACTAAAGCTGATTTGAAATTGAAAACTGTAGTCTAAGTACTAGGGTTTTTTTAATGTTATAATAAAAACCATTTTGATTAATTAAAAAAGTCAAATTGAACAGTCATCTTGTATGATGACTTCACAATATTTTATAAGCATGAACTTAATTAGAATAAGTAACAATTTTGGTAAACTTTTGTTGTTGCTATTTGGTCTGGACCTAAAAATATTGATCTATCCGAAATCGAAGATATTTAGCAGTGTGCCAGGGATAGGTGAGGAACATGGCATATCTTAGACTGGCAATATTTATTTCATGTGAAGTAAAAATACTTTATATTGAAACATACCAATGTATTGAGCAATATTTGCATTAATTTTTAGTGTAAATCACAAGACTTTAAAGCAGTTTAAATCTTGCATTGGATCATTTCTTATATTCTCCTCACCTGAGTACACCAAAGATTCTTTGGACACAATATTAGATGTTAATGATACAATACACAGAATATTTTTTTAAAAAGAAAAAAATCGTTTCTTTTGTGGCTTGGAGATGAAAATAGCACAATGAATTTTCTCCAAATAATTTAGTTTGTATATATATATGGAATTTCAGATGGACGCCATTTAATTCAACTTTTTAATAGACATTTCTAGGTTCTTTGGAATCCTTATACATGTTGATTTCTTGTTCTACGCAACTTGGCTTTTAGGTAAGGAAAATGGGAGGGGAGTTCTAATTTGTAATCCACACACATGCATTGATACCCAGTCACATAATTCCTACTGAATTAGAAACGATGTTTCTCTTTCTCCACCACCTACCTTTCAATTCCTTTCTTCCTTTCCATATAAAACAACTTTCATCAATAACTATAAAAATGACAGTGGCTATCTATTGAATATGTGCTATGTTTAAGAGGTTTTGTAGTTACCATTAGGTTTTGCAAAAGAAAATTTCATATGTACAATAGTTTTTTTCTTCTGTTTGCGTCTTATCTCCATTCACCTGTGCAAATTCAGTTCTTTCTCCTTCCCCTTGTATGTTTTTTGTTGTCACAAATTATCCCTTTTTGTGTTGTGCATTCATTTCCAAATTACAGAAGGTATTTTTTTTTAATGCTTTCACCTCCTTTAACCTATTTGTTATATATGTGTTTAATACCCTATTTTGAACAAGGGTTTCAAATTTGTGCTTCTGTCTGTTAGTCTTCTTACAGCTTTGTATCCTTTTGTCTTTGTTTCAGATAGAAGAGCACCTTAAAGCATTTCCTGTAAATGAAGGTCTTGTGGTAAATTTCCTTAGCTTCTGTATGTCTGGAAAAGCATTTATTTATTCTTCATATCTAAAGGATAATTGGTGAATATATTATTTTTGATTGTTGCTTTCTCTCTTTCAATTTGAGCATTTAATTCTCTCCTAGTTTGTAGGATTTCTGCTGAAAAATCTGATGATAATCTAATAGGGTTTCCTTTATAGGTTACCGTGTTCTTCCTGCTTGTTTTGAGATTTCTTTGTTGTTAATTTTTGACAGTTTTAATATAATGTGCCTTATAGAGAGGGCTTTTTTTGGATAGGGATAGTTAGGTGTTCTATTTGTTTCTTGGATTCAATAATCTACTTTCCATAGGTTTGGGAATTTCTTATCAATTATTTGTTTAAATAACCTCTCTATTCCCTTTTTCCTCTCTTCTTCTTCTGGCATACCCATGAATCTTATATTGTTCTTTCTTATGGAGTTGTTTCTTTTTTTCTTTTTTTTTTTACTCTCAATTGTCTCTCTTTTTCCTTCTTCCACCTGAGTCATTTCTAGATTCCTATCTTTAATATCACCAATTCTTTCCTTCATTTGGTCTGTTCTATTTCTCAAGCTCACTAGTTCTGTCTTCATCTCATTTATTGAGTTCTTCAGCTCCAGAATTTGTTTGAAACTATTAAAAAAATTCTCTTTGGTAAAGTATTCTTGTTATTAATTTTATTTCTGAGCTCATTAAATTTTTGAGTCTTCTTGTATCTATCTCATTGAGTGTTTTCAGAAAAGCAATCTTGAATTCTCAGTCATTTAAATTACAGTCTTCCATGTCTTTAAGTTTATTTTCTGGAGTTTTACATTTTGTTTCTGAATTCCCAGTTACCTTGGTTGTTCATTTTACTTGATGAATTATTTTTTCTCCCTGGGTATTTGTGAGAAGAATTTTTTTTTAAGTATTGGACAACTCACTGTTTAGCAGGTTGATATAGAGAGGTCTTTTTTTGTTTTCAAGTAGGTGGTACTGAAGCACAAGTTTTTCTTTTCTCTCACCTGCTCTGCTGGGGCTTCCTGGATCTCTGTGGGTTGGTGTCACCTTGGCTATTGACAACATCCCATATTCCCGGAGGGGGTGGGTGTCCCCTTTATGACCCTGTTGCCCCAATCTCAAGGCAGCACCCCGGTGAATTGGAAGTGGCTGGTTTATGGGTCTTCTGGCCTGTGTGTTCCCACTTGCTGCCTTCCTTCAGAAGCTGCCAGCAGAGCTGTTCTAAGTTAACCCAGCTACTAAAAAGGCTGGCTGCAATGGGTGGGGAAGGATTGGGCCGGGAAAAGCAGGTTCGAGGGTCTGTGGCTCTGTTCTATCCAGTGGGTTTAGTTGTAAGTAGCACAGACCACTTAGGCTGGGAAGTTTTGGTTTTTTTCGAGCCTTTTCACACTTTTACTGCCTTAGCAGGCCACTGGGGGATGAGGTGGGTGGGTTCCTGCATCTGCAGAATAATTTGTCTGGTGGTGGTGGGCTGTAGAACACTGTCACTGATTGCAACGTGTCTCTGACCCTGGCCCAGCCTCAATGTGTGCTGGCCACTCAGGCCAGTTGCTCTCTCTGCCCCCTCTAATTTGCCCAGTGGGTTTGCACCGCGACCCTTCATTGCTGTGGACACTGCTGGGGCTATGGCAAACACCGACTGTGAGTAACCTCTATATCTATCCCTCCCCTCATTCTGTCTCCACTGTTCGCCTCCATTAGCTCATCTTCAGATGTCTCAGTGCCCAGATCTCTCAGACATGTTTGTGTGTTGAGCAGGGAATACTTTGCTGACTTAACAGCTGGCCAATTTATAACTTCAAGGGGAGAGAACTAGAGGTCCTCTTACACCACTATGCTGCTTATTTCTTCTACCCTTTTTTTTTTTTTTAAGATTTTTATTGGGGAATTGGGGGGATGGGAACAGCGGTGGGGAATTGGGGAAAGGGGAACAGACAAGTTGCTGTCGTTTTTGTTCTTCAGTCTAGTTGTGGAGGACGTTGCTTCACTGGCCCAAGTTGGCACCATCATTGCGCTCTTCCCGGGCGAGGCAGATCAGTCGCCGGCTTTTGGACGGCCGCTCACTGCAGCTGCTGGCCGCTCACGCTGGCTGCTGGCTACACACGGTAGCCCATGGCAACCCACTGCCACAGGGGCTGCAGCCTATGCCGGCGCCGGCGACTCATGGCAGCCCAGGTCCAGGTTGAGCTGTTGTTCAGCATCTTAGCTGTAGAGGGCAGTGTCACTGGCCCTCATATGTGGGATCTGAACCAGGGCCCTCTGGTGTCCCAAGCCAGCTCTTAACCAACGCGCCACTCGGCCGGCCCTCTAACCTTCATTTTTAACCACACCTCTAGGAATGAAATACTGAAGAAGGTAATAAGTGTTATATTTACATTTTGTTATTCAGAAGAGAGGAGGAAAATAAAAATGATTTCAATGTTCCCTGATTTTATAAGTCCAGAAATTTTTTTCTTTGAGTATAGTGGGGTTAGGATT